TTGTTCAGTGGTCACCATTCGATTAGAATTATTTCACCGTCTTTAATACATTTTTAGCATTTTTGTAACATGAATTTGTAGAAATATGCAGATGTCTCTACTTCATACTTCAGGACACGGCTGCTATTTATTGCAACATCAAATTAAAATCAGTTAATAATTAATTAAAAGTATAGTATAGCATTCTAACGTTTCTTTGACATGTGAAAGGCGCATCTTTACAACAATCACCGACAATTACAACTGCTGATGTCAGACCATCCCGATCTCCTTTAGGACAAAAAGAACAGACTATTTTCTAGGTCTCCATATAATTGGGAGGAACGTGATATGTCACCAGGTAAATTATTAAACAGCCTTTTCATTTAGACCATACAACGTCCAAAGCACTTGGGTGATAGAGTTTTTGTGGAAGCTTGCAACCCGAGAACTAGCCTGTGTGGTGTGACCCGCCAAGCCATGTAGAGATCCTGGCGCCCGTGGATGGATAACTGAGGCTTTATATAAAAAAAATGTCAGGTAGGAACTCGATCGAGAGCATCCATGAGTCAACTAATTTATTCATGCCGGGCCACACGCTCATTAAGCTGCGAGAGGAGGCGCTGCGAGGGAGATGGCTTTGTGTTTCAGCACAGTTACAAAAGGAGGCCTATCTTCTTTCAGGAGCTTGTCTACATTTACCTACAAGACATTGACTTGATCTTTTTTCCTGTACAGTTTTATGGGCACCCACTGCATAACTTGATTGGCAATCAATTTCATAAACTTTCCATCGAAAGGAATATTCTGGGGTCAATCGACAAAGCTCAATTGACAGCATTTGTGAGATAATGTTGATTACCACCGATTCAATTTTGACTCATTCCTTTTTTTCTTTAAAAAAAGCAAAAACCAAAGGTTCTGCAAGGTATTTAGTCAAAGGAAGTCAAAGGGGCCAATTTTAAGGATTTAAAAGCAGAAATGTGAAGCTCATAATTTTATAACTTACATTCATTTTTATGTTAAAACTTTGAACTTGGTAAAATTGGTATTGTCATTTTTACAGTTGTTTAAGTGTTTTAGGTGTCATGTTGTCATGGCAACGAAGTTGTAAAATTGGATATAACTTTACACAGGAAATTTGAACGTGTTTTTCCACAGTAAAATCATGTTAACACCAGTGGGTTTTTTTTTAAATAGTTTTTGTTGATATTTTGAATTAGATTGTTTTTATTTTCTGCTTTCAAAGTTTCAGTAATTTTGTCATTTTTATTAGTAGGTTTATAGGTATATAGGTTTTATTAATATTTCAGTTTTAGTTTAGTTATTTTAGTACATCAAGTTAAACTAAATGAAAATTACAAATGTTGCCTTGGAAACTAGCTGAAATAAAATAAGTTTAAGTTTTTTTATATTTTATTTTATTTCAGATAAATTATTTTAAGTAATGAACATGTTTTTAATAGTTTTAGTTTACTATAATAACCCTGGTTAACACACATACTATTCTATTGATTCAATCCCATTTTAAATGCCATTAAACTTTCCTTTTTACACCGAAAAGTACTGTTGATTTAGCTTAACTTGAACCCTTACTCTTGAACCCAGAATATTCCATAAAGTTAATGGATATAACCTGTCTTGTTAGTTCTTCTCCTTTTCAAGTTGGGGTTACACTGACGGAATAGTTTATAATAGACCTAATGCTGATTTTGTAGGGCAAACAAAAAGAACAAGAGACTACAGAGAGATTTTGGAGAGCCCTCAACACAATCCACCTGTCAAACACAGTCACTCACTCACACAAACACACATTTATGGCCTTCAGAGGTCATTGGTTCTAGCGGGCAGCTGAACGGCTTTGAAAGCCACACACACATACAAAACACATACGTAAAAGGTTAGGGTTGAAAATTCTATAACCGTATGCTTCGTTTATTTGGATAAAGTCAGGTGAAATCTAGTTGTGCGGCACATATGTTTTAGTGTTTGAGTCTGTGATGCTAATTTTCATATGGTATCATAAAAGCCTGTCTGACAAGAGCCAGTTTGAATAGTGAGGCATTACTGCTTTGATAGAGGGTGCATTTTCAAATGTAACAGGTGGGACCTGTCGGAATGTCAGTGCAGGCAGACAAATCACTGGCAGCTGTAACAGCACACACAAGTACAAACACACACACACACACTCTCTCTCTCTCTCTCACACACACACACACGCACACACACACTCAACAGATGACATGTTTTTAAAGGTATCTAGTTTTATATAATTAGTAAATTGCAAGAGGCCTAGTTACTTAAGACAGTTACACCATCATAATTACAAAGATATAACATGCAAAGAAAACAGCAGAGAGCCATCTCGGATTTCCACTGTTCCCAAGACAGAAAACAATTTCCCATTTCAGCCTACTACATAAACTAAGTAGCGCCACCTTGTGGACAGCCATTTACCTTCATTGGAAGGTACATAATTGCAACTGAGTGTTTAAAAGAATATATTGATTTTTGGACAAAATATCTCACAGATTATTCTAATAACTGATTGCATATAAACGTAGTTTATATGATAAACTGTACATAAAAAGTTTGGGCTTAGTAAGAAATTAATACTTTCATTCAGCAAGGATGCATTAAATTGATCAAAAGTCACAGTACAGTCATTTATAAATGAATGTTACAAAATATTTCTATTTCAAGTAAATGCTGTTCTTTTGAAATTTCTATTCATCTAAGAATCCTGGGGAAAATGTATCATGACTTCCACATGAAGATTAAGCAGAATAACTGTTTTCAACGTGGATAATAATAATAGGAGATGTTACTTGAGCAAAAAATCAGCATATTAGATGTATTTCTATTTTTACTGTATTTTTGATCAAATAAATGCAGCCTTGGTGAGCACAACAGACCTTTATACAAAAACATTTAAAAATCTTACTTGCCCCAAACTTTTGAATGGTGTATATCATACAAGAATAATGTTCTTAAGATTCAAAACATATGAGCACTATGAAAGAAATATCTCATTGGCAACTAACTCATACATATATATCATGCTGAATTGTTAACCCTTCTAATCATTGTTCTGCTACCTACATAATGACTGCATCAACCTGTTTACACTTATTAGGCACATATTTCCATTTCTTTTTCTATATAATTATGTAAAACCCAAGCTCAGAATTTGATCTGAGCCATACCTTGTATTAAAATAAACAAGATTAATAACGTGAATAACATGTAAAGTGCATGTGCAACTCTAAGAATGTACATTAGCAAAACATCACTAGATCAAGCTGCTTCTGTACGTATGGAGGCAGGTTATCCTGCATGTGTCATTCTGAAACACACATAAGCAGCAGGTTTAAAATCCCTCATCTGTGTCTTCAGTCTGTTGGAAGGTGGAGTCATTTTCCAGTTCTGGGGAATCAGTAAGCCTTTGGTCCTCAGACTCTCCATTGATTGGCGTCTGTAGCTGTTTGGTTCTGGTTGGGACAGGAAGCTGTTCAGAATGGAGCAGTTCCGTGAGGTCGAGTTCCCCCTCTGCGGTCACTGGGGCAGCGACACGTGGCCGCGCTGATTTAATCCTCAACCTGTGTTTCAGGTCCTCCTCTTTCTCCTAAAACAGATGTTTTAGCCATATATCATAACGTTGTGCCACATACTTATGCCAATACAATCTAATTGCAGCTCAACAAACAATTAGATCAAATACAGTGTGCTGAATATTAGTTAAGAGATTTTAAATGCATTAAAAGTGAATGAATGATAAATGTCATTTGGTTCTGCTTTACCTTTCTCCTCTCCTCCACTTGTCTCATCTTCACCTCAATGTCTTCCTTTCTGGTGACTTCTTGCTCTTTGCTAATTTTCAGTGACTCTAGCCGAGCGGGTGGTCTTCTCCTTGGCTTCCCAACATCATCCATCTAACAGACATTATAAAAGTTTGTTGAAATTATTATGCATACACACACAATATGAAAGTTCAATTACAGATTTTTTCAAAGTCTTGTATCAAGCGGTTTATTTTGGAAAAATGATCAGCTAAAATATATGATCACACATATTACATGGCAGTGTACCAAATAAGTAAATAAATATGTCATATGTAGTTCTTAATGATGCTAGATGGCATATTAAATTTAACATGGATGAAAACGAGGCTGTGAGGGATAGACTTACAGTATTTACAACGGCACACACTGTATAAACATCCTAGATCATGTATTTTTCACAACTCTCTAAACTCTTTTATGAAGTTTTTGTCTACTGAAATTTATTTTTTCAGAAAAACAGTTGTTCAGTCATCTGAACAATCCGTATGTTGTTAAACATCAGTTTAATCCAATAAACACCGTACATCTTTCCCTCAAAGGTCTATTGATTTAGGTTAAAATTATTTCATTTTGTGAAAAAACATAAGACATGGAACTAGTATAAGAGTTGGTTGCCAGTAACAATGGTCAAATACACAGTTTAGAGCTCATTACACAAAAAGATTTGACTGCAGAAAGTCACAACTGACCAATCAGATTCAAGTATTTTAGAGAGTCTTGTAATAATAAAGACTATTCCAGTAAGGATTATAGGCATGCAAAAAAATATTCTTCACTGTAAGAAAAACATCTGAAGAAAAAGGTTTCGGATATTTCCTGTAACCCTAAAACACAACACAATGCAATGCGTAATTCAAAATACAGGTAAAACACCTGTGAACAATCAATAAGAAATATTCCTTCATATTAACACTCTGCCCTGTTTCTACAGACTTTTCTTAGAGTGTTGTTTAATGTGAGAAAATGTCATATTTGAGAAATTATAGCAGCATTATTTAACACTTTTTATATTTCAAGATTTACACTTTTCAGCCCTCACCATGATGTTGTAGGCTTCCCCACTTCCTCTGTGTCTTGGTTGAGCTGGAATGATTCCTTGAACAAGCAGTTGCTCCAGGATCTCACCAGACTCAGGCCTCTCTTCAGTTTGCTGGGCCACTCCAGGACTCTGGCCTAGATTTCACACAACGTGTAGGTCAAAATAACTATTAGATTTTGTTAATTTCCTACATTCTATTTTATATTTTTTATTCAATTTCAGCTTTCCTCTGAAAGAACTCAAAGTTGGTCAGCAGTTTTTGGTTCATTTAAAGTGAAATAACATCAAGCTGTTCTAGAATTTCTATTTAACCTTGTAGCGGTGGCAGGACTCTAGGTACAGATCCAGGTAGAACCGATGGCTCTGCTGTTTCCAGACTGACCCCGCTATCTGTGGTCATTTTGGACACTGCAGAGTCACCTCGAGAGCCTCCCTGAGCCACAACAAACTCCAGAGTTTCGGTCTACAAAATAAAAGCAAAGTAAGTCAGATAGAAGTCTGCATATAACAGAACACTGACAGCCTAAATTGTTTGCTAGTCTAGTATTGTGTCTTAACCTAGTTTACCTGGTCTGCTGGCTGGTTTTTGAAGGATTTGGGAATGGGAAACAAGTTGAAATCAGCTAAGACCAGCAAACCAGCTTAAGCATTTCGTTTTGTTTAATTATTCATCTAATTCACCTAATATAGACTATTAAATATCACAGTTGAGGGAACAACAGATATCTTCATCAGTTTCCTCATATGTTTCAACATATTATAACCACTACCGACTCGCTAATATTCCGTTTTTTAATTCATATTTTAAATCATTATAAATCGAATAACAAAAAGACTACAGCTGACCTCATTTCCGTTCAGACTGCTCGGTTTTACGGGTTCAACCACCGTGATTTTGGAGCTCCCACAGCCCATGTTTATCGCTCAGGACAGCGCGGCTCCGGAACTATTTGATCTGTAAAGTTCTCAAACACTCGCATTCCAACACATGATCTAAGATCTCGCAACCATCGTCGTCATGGACTCTCTGTGTTGCTACGATTCGTTGCTACAATAAATCTGACCCATTTCCAGAGGTCACGTAACCTGTTATGTTGCCTTGGCTCTACGCTAGTCAATAATAAAACACGGGTTTATACTGGTAATGTATTATTCGAATAAAAGTGGCATCAACAGATTTCAGTTAATTAGTCACTAGTTTATTTCATTAGAATAAATAAAAAAACTGACACCAAACACTGTTTTCTTACTATTGGCAACCAAGCTAACTTTTAATTTAATTTATTTATTATTAATATAATTAAATCTGTCTATATAAAAGTAGCAAAGTGTAAGGTTTCTGTGTGGTTAAATGTTTCCAACACAAGAGATAAAAAAAAATAATATTTGTTTACATATTAAGCGTAATCAGTTTCCCTATGGTCAGTTTTCTGTGGATCCCTTAGGCGGCCTGGGAGCCAGTTAGATGTAATTGTGCAACATAATGGGCCATAATAACCCCAATGGACATGCAGCTCACATGCAGGCAGTGTTTTTATTTCATTTTTATTTGCCTCATTAAATCTCTGACTCTGACTGATTTATCACCCATTCATGCTCAGGTTTTCCACTATTACACAGATAATTTTTCCCATTGCTAGGCCTTCACGTGGTCATGAACAATAAACAAGTCATTATAAAGTTACCATAAAGTTATCCCACAGAACCCTTTTCAAAATCACACGTGTAGATCCATATCCTGCGTGCGTAACTGTTCTTTAAACTGTGAATAAATGTAATCAACAAATCAAGTTTATTTTAATGTTCTTTTTTGTCTTCTCTTATTGATGTCTTTCTTCCAAATGATCATGTGTTGGCTACATTTACTGGAAATTGACTGATGATGTGTTGGCTACATTTAATGACATACCTGTCATAAAACAATTGGCCACGGCTTGAAATATCTCAATAACATATTATATGTCACCTAGACACCTTTCCTCAACTACAACCATAAAAGATACCCAGCCCACCAAGTGGCACATTTATAGGTCTGGCTAATCAGACTACGTGGATTTTTGCCAACACTCATCCAAAGATGTAATAAAATTGTAGCAAATCAAATCTAGATTTGATGAAAAAACAAACAAAACCCCATTTATTCATATATATAAATATTATTGTCAAAGAAAACTGTGTAAATACATATAAATATATCATACATTATATGCAAAAATAGAATACTACTTACTTAAAAATTCCCCCCAAAATATATTATCTAAATAATAATAATAATAAAAGGGGAACAGATCTGTTAGCTTGCATATTTATTATGCGGAGTAAAATATGACTGTAGCCCTAACCATTAAATTGAAATTAAGAAAGAAAGAAAGAAAGAAAGAAAGGCTTTAGATTCAGATTAGATTAAATCAGATTGATTTTAGATCGGACTGAATTAGATGAAGAACAACAGAGAACATTTCCAAAGTGAACTCAGACCAGAAGATGGTAGTATCGCTCATCTTTCCTCCACTCAACACCCACGAACCCTGAACGACCCCGCCTGAAACACAGCTCTGCAAATGGGAGAAGCTCTTATAACCTCCTGCCTTTACCCAGCCAATGAAGTCGCCTGAAATAGGGCGGTGAGAACATCTCGACCCACGCAACTTCAGGAAGTTCTGTCAAAGAAACTCGGCGCTGGTGGAGTGGAGTGTCAGTTTGGATGAGACCAACCATGGCGCCCAGTCAGGGTTCCAGGATGCTCAGTAAAGATGATGCGAATTATAAACTTCACTTTAGGATGATAAACGAGCAACAAGTGGAGGATATCACCATTGATTTCTTCTACAAACCGCATACCATAACTTTACTGACGTTGACCGTCGTCAGCATAATGTACTTTGCGTTTACGAGGTAAGTAACCAGCAGGTTTACGGCAGGACACACCTGTCATCATGGCAACCGCAACTCAGAGCGCGTGACAGAGCGTTCATTCAGTCAAGCCGACTACTTTATTGAATTTCAATTTAAATAGTTTAAATGGAATGAAGATGTTTTGTTACAATGTTGCCAACGCAGATCAGGTTAGCAACTGCTTTAAATTATTTGAAAAACTAATAAAAAAATAAAATAAAAAAAACTTAACGAGTTTTTCAATGCCACTTCGAGTTATGATAACAGTGTTTATACACAACCTCGGGAGATAACTTTAAATTTTTGATTATATTGATAATAATATTTTAAAACGTTCAATGTATTTTTTAATGACATAATGACTGTTAATGTGATATATTCACTTATAGTTAACTAAAACCATAAAAAAAATCGTTTCTTGAAATAAAATAAACCTTAACTGAAATGAAAAAAAAAAAAAAACTAGTTGTCAAGAGCAACTTTATTTACTGAAAAAAAAGCAAAAACAAAAAAAAAAACCTACATATTAAAAAAACCCAAAAAACCACAAACTAATAAAAATGACGAAAAACAACAAAATTAGCTACTAAAACGAAAATGCAAAATATAAATAATAAAAACGAACACCCCAAAAATCTGGTGACATTGTGAAAGGTTACAGTTCTGTGACATAGTCATGGTTCTGATATGTTATCTGTACCTCGTGTTTTCATTTTGGCAGGGATGATGGTGATTCTGATAATAACCTGCGTGTGGGTCTACTGCTGGTTGGCTCTTTCTTTCTTGTTATCAGTGTTCTTGCCTTCCCCAACGGTAACGTTACAGTCATTGTTCATTTGCTTCTCAGTTAGGGCTGGACAATAATTCAATATCAATATGTATCGCGATATAATTTTTTTCAATAACGGTGATATGATTTTTAAACACATTTCCGATATTTCGATATACATTACCAGTGTTTCCCATACATTGATTTATTTGTGGAGTTTGACTTCGTAGAATAAACATGAGCACTGCACGTTTCAAAATCAAAATGCCGCGCGGGTGCTTTATATGAATGAATCTCTGAAGGGAACCGAGTGTCTTCAGAAAAGTTTCGATGACATTTTCATTTTTATCTGATAAATTAGCGTTTACTTGAGCGGAGCTGCTTTGATTACAGCCATTACCAGGGAAACCGCTAGTTTTATCGCTCTAAAAGCGCCTCCTGCTGGCAGAGAACGAGTTAGCATTTTCAATAAGCCAGACTCCAGTAACATTTCCAATTTTTGTTGTTGTTCAATTTTGTTGTTTTCTGCAGTGACTCGGAGCACTTTTCATACCCTTTATTTCTGGCTGATGCACATTTGTTTCAATCTATAAGAATAATCAGCCTACACTACCAGTCAAAAGTTTTTGAACAGTAAGATTTTTAGACCAGTCAAAAGTTTTTGAACAGTAAGAATTTTAGTGTTTTTTTGTGTGTGTTGGAATTCTCTTCTGCTCACCAAGGCTGCATTTATTTGATCCAAAGTACAGCAAAAACAGTACAATTTTGAAATATTTTTACTATTTAAAATAACTGCTTTCTATTTGAATATATTTTAAAATGTAATTTATTGCTGTGATCAAAGCTAAATTTTCAGCATCATTACTCCAGTCTTCAGTGTCACCCTTCAGAAATCATTCTAATATGCTGATTTGCTGATTATCAATATTTAAAACAGTTGAGTAAATGTTTTTTTCAGGATTCTTTGATGAATAGACAGATCCAAAGATCAGCATTTATCTGAAATAAAAAGCTTTTGTAACATACTCTATTCCATTCAAAAGCTTGGAATGAGTATAACGTTTATTATTTTCTTGGGAAAGAAATTATAGAAATTAATACTTTTATTTAGCAAGGATGCTTAAAATTGATCAAAAGTGATGATAAAGGCATTTATAATGTTACGAAAGATTTCTATTTCAGATAAATAGTGTTCATATCGATATCGAAATTATATCGTATCGACCGAAATTAAGAAATATACCGTGATAAAATTTGGCCATATCGTCCAGCCCTATTTATTCTCAGTAGAAAATACATTAACTGGATTGCAAATTGACAGAATGCTTTCATTGCAGGAAAATTCTGTCATTATTTACTCACCCTCATGTCTTTTCTTCCACGGAATACAAAAAATATTTGTAGCAGAATTTCCAAGCTACTCTTTTCCATACAATAAAGGCATTTGGCTAAACCTCTCTAAGTAAATCACACAAATAGGAATGACATGAAAATGAACTATCCATTTAACAATTTTTATATCGCTACTAAATATATATTTTTTCATTGTATTAAAAAAAATCTTTTAGGTCCTTTCACAAGACCACATCCCGCTATATGGCGCATGGTTTTTGGTGAGTGACTGTTAACAGGCTCTTCTTGTGTATCAGCGGCTATGTTGACTCAACCTCCAATGCATTGATCTATTGGCACTTTTCAGGTCTCAGTGTTCTTTACTTCCTCTTCCTGGTGCTCCTCATCTTCCTGAACTGGGATCAGGTGAAGGCGCTGTTGTATTGGCTGGACCCCAATCTACGGTACGCCACACGAGAAGCAGATATCATGGTGAGTGATATGATATCCAAAAAAACTAAATTCATCCTTGTGTGAGAGGCTATAAAGTTTTTTGTCATCAATAAAACCATCACATCTTATATTCTTTGTTGCTGTAGGCCGGCATTTTGTGTTTCTAAATAAATATGTACTGGCAACTCAAGTCATTATTTATTCACATTGGGCAGTGAACACCTAAGCTTTTCTCACTTCTCAACTGGTCTATCCTACGTTTTCTGCAATCTTTGATCTTGTTAAGTTAAGTTAGTCCGGTAATATTTTCCACCATGGATCCTTGGCTTTCATTAGAGTCCCACAAATTTTTTTTTTAATTACTTCATTTACAAACCAGTATAAACGGAGACTGTTGCTGATGCATAATTATTGAACATTTAATTTAGGCAAGTCAAAATAAAATAAAAAATAAAAATGAAGGAGTGCATTCATTTTTATACAGTTGTGATTTCCTGTATAATGTCATCTTTGTCTATAGCCGTATAGTCGTGGTCACAGCAGACTAGTGCAGCACATAGATTATGTCTGAGCTGTGGAGTTTGAAACCCTCCCTTCAGTGTGTGTGTGTGTGTGTGTTTTTTTTAATCCAGTGAATTATGATTAATTACTGTAAAGAGATAATGCCAGCTCTCTGTAAGAGGTTTCTATGTAGCTCAGAGGACGGCCTGACTGCGGACATTCAGCCTATAAGATTATTTGAATCTCTGTCCATTGACATCAGGCTCCATGTTGCTCACTGTATCTAATTCGCACTGTGCCCTAATTTGTGTCAGTTTTTGTTTTTACTCATTTGTAAAATTTGTAAAATTGTTTCTTGAACAAAAAAAGAGGCTAATACAGCCCTTATATGTTGTAAAGCCAATAACATATTCTTTAGTGTAAATAATTCTGAAGTTTTTCCATACACTTTTACAGTGTTTATTATTTTTTCTATTTAATTGTTTTTTTAAATGTTGTATTTGTTTTATTTTTTATTTTATTCCTAATTTTACAGGAGTATGCAATAAACTGCCACGTGATTACATGGGAACGCATCCTGAGTCATTTTGACATTTTTGCCTTTGGTCATTTCTGGGGCTGGGCAATGAAAGCTCTACTCATCCGCAGCTACGGCCTCTGCTGGACCATCAGCATCACATGGGAGCTCACAGAGGTAATGCATTTTAAACGGTTGGGGCCGGCTTTTTTTATGTTTTTTGTAAGAAGTCTCTTATGCTCACTAAAGCTGCTGGTTTGATAAAAAAAAAACAGTTTAAAGCTTTATATATACTGTAAATGTTTGTTGGATATGATTTATGATTTGACACCATGTGTGGGTGGATGTCTTTCCCAATCGAATACCTTTGAAAGTAAGTAGCTGCTGATGCAATAGTACTGATTATGAAACTTCCTCATAACGCCATACTTAATCTGTAAAATTAATGAAAAGGAAATATGACTAAGTGTTCTTTGACTAAGCAAATAAAATATAAAATCACAGATTGAGGTAAACCCTTATAGTATCCTATTGAGTATAATTTTTATGAATGACAGTTTTATTGTTTGAGGCATGCCTATTATTATTATTATTATTATTACTGTTGATACCATTATATGAGCTGATGCCAGATGCATTTGCTGAGATTATCACTAATACACAATACTGCCTTTAGCAGTACTGAGCAGTGGAAACCGCCTGGATTGTTATATAGTGCATACCACTGCTTATTGCTTTATATTTCTCTCTACTCTCTCTTTCTTCCTCATTCAGTTGTTCTTCATGCACCTCCTGCCAAACTTTGCAGAGTGCTGGTGGGATCAAGTCATTCTTGACATCCTGTTGTGCAATGGAGGGGGCATTTGGCTTGGCATGACTATGTGTCACTTTTTAGAGATGCGTACCTACCACTGGGCCAGTATCAAGTAAGCTCTTTTTACGATTAATCTGTGGCTGTTCCCCATGAAACCAACATTAGTTATCTGTGTTAACTCCAAACCTGTTTTGCGCTACATTCTTGTTGACTCATCTGATCCAGGGTTTTTAGGTCACTGAGGTAGTGTACAAGTATGTTCATGTGTCTAGGATTATTGTAAACGGGTCGTTTGTGTGTTTTGTATGTGTTCAGGGATATCCACACAACCACAGGCAAGCTGAAACGGGCTGTTTTGCAGTTCACTCCGGCCAGCTGGACGTATGTGCGCTGGTTTGACCCCAAATCCTCTTTTCAGAGGGTGGCTGGAATCTACCTCTTCATGATAATATGGCAGGTGTGTGATGCTATAGAAATGTACTTGATGGTGATTGTGATCTAAAACATGAGTAGTATGGAAAGCCTTTCAGTTTATGCTACATTCAGGTTTAGTATGTCACATATGAACTGAACCAACAGTGCGAAACTTTACTTTAGCCATGACTTTCCAAGTTGGCTGCATTTAAATTATAGTCACAGTGAAAAAATGAGTGTTGATGATAATTAAGATTTCATTATGATTACATTATGTACTTTTAATGAGAACCTTAATAATCTAGCTTGACAGAAAATACTTGTTTAGCCAGCTTATGACGACAAAACTGCATATAAAGATTCCAATCAAAGTGCGCACATCCAACCGGCCAAAAGCTCAATGCAGGTGCTCAACCACAAAAATGTTCAAACAGGAAAATCAAAGTTGGCACACCACAGCTCCAAAAGTAGAAAAGTATTTAATTATGTTCTCACCACAGCTGATGTTTCGAGCCTAAAAGCTCTTCATCAGACGATCTGGTCTTCATCAGGTCTGATGAAGAGCTTTTAGGCTCGAAACGTCACCTGTGGTGAGAACATAATTAAATACTTTTCTACTTTTGGAGCTGTGGTGTGCCATTTTAATATATTTTAATATATAATGTATTCCTGTGATGGCAAAGCTAAATTTCCAGCAGCTTTTACTCCAGTCTTCAGTGTCACATAATCCTTCAGAAATCTTTCTGTGTTGATTTACTGCTCAAAAAACTTTTCTTATTATTATCATTGTTGAAAACATGATTCATACCTTTGCGGAAACCATGATACCATTTTTTCAGGATTATTTGATGAATAGAAAGTTTAAAAGAAAAAGAACAATATTTATTTGAAATGGAAATCTTTTGTAACAATGTAAAAGTCTATACTGTCCCTTTTAATCAATGTTCAATGATCAATGTAATGTGTCCTTTCTAAATAAAACTATTCATTTAAAAAAAAAAAAATCTTAATGACCCCAAACTTTTGAACACTAGTGTAGATAAAGCATCAGTTATACACCTAATGTGCCCTTTGACCTAAAAAAAATCTTCTGTTTAATTGAAAAACAGAGCAAGAAATATGAAATTGGTCAATACATTCAGATGGGCTTGAACAAACAGTAGCAGACCACAGATTTAGACTTTATGTATCTTTGTGGTTCTTTGGGTTTTCACTCACTGTTGTCCTGTTTCTTTGCTCTCCAAACAGCTCACAGAATTGAACACGTTTTTCCTGAAGCATATCTTCGTATTCCAGGCCTCTCATCCTCTCAGCTGGTGTCGGATCCTCTTCATTGGGATTATCACTGCACCCGCAGTGCGGTACTGTCCAATTACCCTCTTCCGTGTTCCAGCGTAATCCCTTGAAATGAACCTTTCTTTGTAGTGGCACATCTCACCCGACCAAACAATATTAAGACATTTCACTTTATTTTTGCTCTGGCCTTGTTTTGCTACTCTAGAGATCAGGGCCCGGTTGCATGAAAGTCCTTAAGTAATTTGACTTAGGAGTATCCCTGAGGGGAAAAAATTCCCTGAGGTAAGGGATTTCTTTAGGAGCGTTGCAACAAACGTCTTAATTGTCAACCTTACCTAAGTGTTTATACTAAGCGTTTCACGGTAGTTTCTGACCACATACGGCAATGGGCGCTGCAGTTACTATAGTTACCACATCTCACAATAAACACAGATATGTATATATCTATGACAATAAACAGAACATAACGAAATACAAACCTAACCAACTAAAACACGAACAAACATTAAATAAATGAGTGCTGCCCGTTTCTGTGCTGCTTTGTGTACAGTCGTTACCAAGGAAACCACTTTGTTTCTGCAGTTAACTCGCCTCCTGCTGACTAATGATGGAAAATTGACCAAATGTGAAAATTGACGCTGCAAACACGCAGGGTTGTAAATGTGAACAGGTGGATTGACAAGAAGATAATGCATTATAAAAATCTAAACAATTAAGACATACATTACATTTGTATTGTTATTTGATTAATGTAATAATTGATTAATAATAATTGTTTAAATTTATATAATAATTGATACAAATCCATTTTCTTAAAAAAATGATATAAAACTTTTTGTTTTGTGAAAACTTGTAAGTCGTGCTTTTTACAGTCATTTTACAGTTTAATATGTTACCATAGTCATTGTCCTACTGTGCTCATATGATATTTTATTTGTGGAGGTCTTAAAAAATATCTTAAGACTTACATTTGAGTTTAAAAATCCTGTAGATACTGAGTTTAAGATGACTTGAGGGAGCTGTTTTGGTCCCTTAAATTTATTAAGGTGAAATGGTTACTAAGGACTTTGTAGCAACGCTTAAGGGAACACTTCGATAATTAAGGGGAATGCTTAATGACAGCCTTAAGGTTCCTTAAGTTGACCCTTAGGATTTTTCTTGCAGCCCAAGTTTCACTAAGGGTTCCCTTAACCTTATAACTAAGGGATAGCTTGAGGGCTTTCATGCAACCGGGCCCAGGATCTTTATCTCTTCAAAATCTGATGTACTAAAGCAAAACCTTTTCCTGGAAAGGCAGGACATGAGATCCACCAGAAATGAGAAACATGAGAATGCCATGTCTTCAGAAGCCAGTTATTTTATTTATTGAAATTATTTATTTATTGTGGAGTGTGATCCGATGATCCATAAACATCAACACAGAAATGCCGTTTTTTCAGCCATATAATCATTCTAAATAAATGCATTAATTTTGGATAATGAAGTTTGGCAGATGTTTATACACCCATTGAACTGTTTGAAGCCAGAGGTGTTGAATGACTCCTATTATTTATCGTTTGCATTTAGGCAATACTACGCATATCTAACAGACACCCAGTGCAAAAGAGTTGGAACACAGTGTTGGGTGTTTGGGTAAGTACGTTTCTTTATCTAATGCAAACGTTCTATGTAATATCTGTCAAAATAAGGATTTAAAAAAAATCATATTAATAGTTTAGCCAGTGTTTTTTACAGTTTGGATGTTTTGGGTCTTATAATCAGCAACAGATGATGACTTATAGGGATAGTTAATCAAAAATGAAACTTCTGTCAAAATTTCCAAGTCTTTCCAAACCTGTATGACTTGTGTGAAACATAAAGGAACACATTTGTGGAGCACATTTTGAGCAGTTTACATTGACAATGAAAGTCAGTGGGGTCCAGTGTTATTTTGAACCCTACTGACTTCAGTGTGTAAACAAAAACAGTTTAAAATATTTTCTTATATTTGTGTTCCAGAGTATAAATAAAATCACACAGGTTCTGAGAGACATGACAGAGTTTTAATTTTTGGGTGAACTATCCCTTCTACATAAAGACTGTGTCATGAAATGATTCTGTCTGTTTAATTTTTGAACTTATTTTTGAAATCCAGAAAAACACAGTTCTTACATTGGTATAGATACAGAGACATATAATACATAGGTTTAGTTCCATATCGCCACAGCTGGTTGTGTTAGAGTCAGGGGATTTGTGTCCTGTTTACCAGACAATCTCACTTTTTCCATTCGATTTCAAACAATGGAGGTATTTTCTCTTGGCTTTAAGCTCCAGGTCTGCCAGATTATTCCTACATAGTCTGGTGACTAGAGTTAAGAAACCTCACTTTTGTATTTGCAAGTGCTACAAGTCTAAAATGCTCATAGAGATTTGCCATTGTGCATTAAACACAAAAAAGTTATGTTTATTTATTTATTTTTTATATTGAAAGAGGGTTTATTTACATGGTTTCATAAAACCTGAAAGTATTTGATACTGTTGTTGAACACTTAAAGGGATAGTTTAACTAAAAATTAAACTTCTGTCATTTACTCACCCTCATGTTTTTCCAATCACATGTGACTTTATTCTGTGGAACAAGAACAGGTGGTATTTTGAATTCTGTGTTTTTATGCTACACAATAAAATGAATGAGGCCCACTGTTTTTGGACCCCATTGACTTTTAAACATTCTTCAAAATATCCTACTTAAAAATTTATTTATTTATTTATACTTCATCATACTATAGATGACTAAATATCATACATAAATATCAAATTATTTCAACAGCATTTATGTTGTTCTGGCATTTATATATTTATTTAAAAAAATTGTGAAAGCTTTTGTTTGAAAGTTTGTTGGCTTATTTATATAAACAAAACAAAAAAAAGACATTTTAAGTGTCCTAACACTTTCTGGGGTGTTGCATTTATGGGTGTGTTTCTGTTCTTCCTTTTAGGGCCATTGCTTTCCTGGAAGCTCTGGCTTGTGTCAAATTTGGACAAGACTTGTTCTCTAAAACACAGGTTCCTTATGTTGTTCTTTGGCTTTTGTGTTTGGTGAGTGTTTTGGTTGAAATTTCCTTTATTTATAAATATTGTTTAAAAGTAGTATTACTATTGTTATATATTTATATTAATTTATACATAAGTATTTATCTATTTATATTTTTATATTATTATCTTTTAAAATGAAGTTTTGTTTTAGAGATGTGTTTACTGTTTTCCTTAACAGATAGTGAAACCTTAACAAATATCGGCTATGTTGCTGTACTGTGACTATGATGCAACAGTTTATTATGTTCGTTTATGCATCTGTAGTTTACACTGAATGTTTACAGATTGGACCCTGTGTGTTTCTATAAACTAAATACAGTGGGATCCAAAAGTCTGAAACCACATTCAAAATCTAATTGAAAATAGTACAGAAATGTTGTATGGCATTTACAATTCTTCATTATTTAGTCCTTCACTAATAATAAAAAAAAGCAAATTACTGGCTCATGTGCAAGCGAAATAAACCAAATACTAAGACATTCTGAAATTCATTTTCAGAATTTTGAATCCCACTATGTGTGGTGAAGTCTCATGCACACGTTCTCTCTCTCTCTTGCCACCTTCCAGGCTTTCATTACTTTTCTCTGTCTGTATGGAATGATTTGGTATGAGCAGAATTATGGGAAGAGACTGAAGGTAAAGGACCGTATTTATTCATCTGTTACAATAACTTGATATACTGAGAGATACTAAGATCCTTAATTAAATACTGTGGATTCTTCAACAAGAATATAAATCTAGTGCTGTCCACTGGTCATTCACAATCTGACAGCATTTACATTAGAATCATCCCGAGCAGAGAGCACAGAGAAAGTCACAATGAGGTGTTAATAATTTGCTCAGGTGTGAGTCTTTGTTGTTTTATCCTGGTTTGTGCTGTACTTGCATATCAAATATTGATACACTGATAAATCTCTTAACATTGACAGAACATTGCAGACTGTGACGACAGCACCCTTATTGACACGTATGACCACATTCTTGAAACTGCCAAAGGTAACATACAATCTGATTTGTTTTAGAGGGTTTCTCAAATGACATTAAATATCTAGAAGTTGAATGTTTTAAGGAGATTTTTCACACTATGCTCAGATTTATGACAGGGAATTTCCTTTCAGTATTTATATTTTCTACCCTATAGATTAAAATAAAAATAAAATAATTGTACTATGATATTAAGACCATATAAAGAACATTTGAGATTTATTTACCCCTCGAATATCATTTAATCTGGTTTTAAATCTGAATTTAACACCAAAACGTATATATTATTACATAATTACTACTATTAGCAGAGAAGAACTCCAGTAGTAATTCCACTTCATCACGGAGAAGAAAAGGAGGCTCTGGAAAAAACAAAACAATCAATGGAACAAGCGGCAAGAAGTGACCACAGCTAGAGACTGACGATCTCTCAATGGACCACAAGGGGTGAAAGAAAGAATATGTCATAAGCGGTTGAAGAGAGGTTAAGCGATTAGCTGGGTTATAGTGTGCAGACACAAGAAGCGGTTCTATAAACAGAGGACACATTCCAAACCACAAGCCTCTGTCTTTACTATATACACTAGTTTTTATTTTCATAGCACTTGGAAGGAAACAATGATTTGTGGTATGCCAGGATTACGGGAAATGACACAATGCACACTTTCCAGTGGCACTGATGTGGCTTTCATATTTAGGAATGTCGGAAGCGTCTGAGCCAGTGAATGTTTGCGATGGCCCTCCTAATGAAATGAGCTCAATGCTGCCAGGCTTTCTGTAAAACATGATGGGAGCGTTATTCAGCTCTGATTATTTCTTATCACCAGTATTGTTAATGCAGACCAAGCCCTGTCTTAAATTTTGCACATTTTTCTCCACTTGCCCTTTAATCAGTGAATGTTTTGTTGACACATACCTATGCATTGATCAGGGTAAGAAATGTTATTTCATTGTGAGCTTAAAAGTGAGCTCTCCTTTTTTGAAAATCCTTTAAGCACTTGTTTTAATGTAGTATGATCTTGGCACAGCTGTTCCATTATCACAACATTTACAGGTTTTCAGTCTTCTTATATTTGCTCTTTTAAATGAATACTGCAGGGTGGTTGAAGGAGAGGAAGGTCGTGACCTTTTGCGTTGAGAGCTGTTGATTTACTTAAATGTAATATGATTAAGCTTTTTTGGCAACATGTAAAGGTTGTTTAGAAATAATGACATAATGTTGTGTCAACATGTGGTGTCATTTTTTTCTATACTTTTATAGTTATTGCTTTGTATGTTAACTTTTGTGGTAAGATTTATACCTGTGTGAGTATGTGGGCATGTGCATACATGATTTGAGTCCCATAATGTTTTCTGTGTGAGGCCTTTAAATGACAATGCATTTCTATATGCAGTTTTTTGAAATAGCTGTAATTTTTGCAAAACCTACATTTAGGATTTTATGCTGTTTTTTTTTCATGGTTTATTAATACTAAATGGTAGCCTATGCATGTTTATATTAAGGTACTATCACTTTTTTCTTTTGCTTTATTTAATTTTTTTACATTCTGCTTTCATGGACCAAATTGTTGAGCAATACCCAAGCTGTTAGTTATACAGAATCTAATATTTTCCCCTGGAAAAACATCAAAACCTAAAATAACCGTTAAGATTTCTAATCATGAATTTTGTATGCATCTGCAGTTCGGAGGGTGACCAAAAAGTCTGCATAAAATGTGATGTCAAACTTGAATCCGCCACAGCAGTGTTCTCATATCTAATTTTTTCAGACCTTTAATATGATAATCAGGAGAAATGAGGTGTGACCAATTTGTTTTGAGATTTATGAATGAATGGTTAAACTTTCCACAGATGTGAACCCCCTCAAGGGGATGTTATTTTCACTTTCTTATAAAATACTGAATTGAAGTCTCTGGTTCTTAGTAATTGTAGTATAATTGTTTGTGTTGTATACCTGTATATGTTTTGTTTTTTTACGAACTTTGCAGTGATATTGGTTTGTTTACCTTACTGTAAACGTCTAGAAAAAGTACAATCAGTATTTAAATCTGATTGGTTATTCCAGGACAAAAAAGGATGTTGAACCAGGAGCACATGGAGTCTGGTTCACTAAATATTTAAAGCAGCACTATGTAACTTTTGGCGCTCTAGTGGTTAATAAACAGAACTCTACACATCCCGCGGAAGAACATTCCAACCGGAGCTACATTAGGTTATGGGGTAATGCAATCAAGAATATATGGAGAATTGTTTAAGTATTTAAAAAAGACAAGATTAATGGAAAGAGTTTGAAGTTAGAGTTATATTAATATTATTATTATTATTATTTTCTTTTATCTATAATAGTTGAAGAATTCATAGCTCAACCGTGTACGTTTCACACTCCAGATCAGTAGGTGGCGGACATGCACCTTTAACGTTGGTTTGCCAATCCGCCAAAAAACTCGAGAAAAGAAGAAGAACCGGAGCTACTTCTCTAAGTTTATGTCTATGGCGATTCACGCAGGTATGTATTACTCCGCAGCGGTGACGACCCGACCAGGCTACAATAGTCCAAATATAAGTACTTCTTATAAGTGTACTGTAGTGATTCGGAATAAGACAAAAACGCTGTTTGGAAGATGAATTCATGATGTACTCGCTCATTATATACAATTTGCAAATTTTGAACACAGAAAAAGTTACATAGTGCTGCTTTAATGAATCATTGGTTACGGTCATGAATCTGATATAAAGTTTTGATATAGGCCTATACATTTCAGAACAAATATCTCCCTCCTTTATAATTTATCCAACATGCCGTTAAAGAAATAAGTGTAATTAATGTTACTATTATTATATTATTATGAGTAAAATAAGGTCTGTGATTAAATTCAGAATTCATGTTTGAGCTACTGACTGTGTAGTTTATCTTCTAGAACACAACAGTAAATTCTCTTCACGTAATGTTTGCCACAGGCCTTATTTCACTCATAACCACCGATCTGAATTCCACGGCCGGTTGGCCTACAAACTGACGTCAGTACCGAAAGCATGTGTCTGTCCGAACTACATTTCCCATAAACCCCAACGCCGAAGTGGCTGATGGTATATTGGAGGGCTGCGCTGTGACAGCGGAGCTCTATCCGGCGAAGCACTACTGAGCAGACGCAATCTAGTTAGCCATGGCGGCGACAGGAGGAGGGAAAATCAGATCAAGAAGATACCACATCGCTTCAAAACCTTATGCCAAAGGCAAACAGGTAAATAAAATGAAACCCTAGTCGCCACGGCAAGGATTTTAGCGGTTCTTAGCTTAAGGCGCACCGGTGTTTTGCCAGCGGGTTTTGTATTTGTAAAGCGGGAGACGTTTTGAGGCCTGTTTCAGGCCTGTTCACGTTCTTCCAGCACACGGTCTCAACACTTGTCACCGCAATACCGCTAACTCGTTTTACTGAAGAGACGTAGCCGTTAAGTGAGGAAAATGCTCAAAATGTGGCGTCAGAGAGGTGAAATTTTAAGGTTTTTAAATAATTTCAGACAATCGCATGAACGCGTTTCAAAACACAACCCGTTAGCTGCGGCTCGTACCGGCGTCATACAAGAATACTTACATTTGAATATAAATAACAGCATTTGAATGTTATTACCTTCTGAATAAAATGCTGTTTATACTCCGAAGCTCACGTCTCCCATCTTTTGCGCCGCTCGGAGGGTCCACATGTGGGTAACCTGAGCTTCACAGCACTTTTGGCAATGTTTTCTTTACTTATATTTCATGTCTAAGTCTTAAACTTGGTTGAAGATCAATTGGATATGACTGGCGAGTCTGGTACATGTTTTGCATAAATACGGAAAGCACAGGTAGTTAACGCACTAGGTTTGTCATCATGAAGAAAGGCGGGATGAGTGCGTGTCTTGGCGTGTTTTCAGAGCTATCTGTACGTTAGCTGAAAACACTCGCATGCTGCTTTATGAAAAGAGAAACAGTGCAATGACTAACGCACGTTAATGGATTAATGTCATTCCATGTTCTATGTACAGACATTTTAATTAGTCCTTTACTTATCTTAAAAAATAAGCTAGCCTATATTTGGCTAATAACTTTAGCAATATTGATATCTTTTTGCGTGATAAGACCTGTGTGTTTTAGGGAAATTAAGTAGAACTTATGTAAACAGAAATATTGTATTTTTTTACTGAGATCTGTATATTTGGTAAACGGTTAATCATAATTTGTTAAAATAGTCAAATCATATATTTTTCTTTTTAGTCTAAAGATTAGACCGTTTTTCAGTCAAAAAAAACAAAAACAAATGAAGCTGGTTCTGCATATTGGTTATTATATACATAAAAATAATTTGTATTGGCAGTTAAAAACATTGGTCTCTAATTCTAAACTAATGTTTTTTGAGGTGTCAAAATGTGGCAGAGTTGTTTGTCTATTCTGATCTCATGAAGTGACTAAAACTGTTATGCCATAGAAAGTAGAATTAGTAAAGAACAGGGAAGTCTCTGTTCTTTTGTATTGCATTTGCATTTGAAATGTTTAGCAACTTAAAAATCATGGAAATGCCCATATTTTCTGTTGACACTACATATACATATTTTCAATGCGCATCATTGCGCCTAGTTTTCCCCCCACATAAACTGCACACACTCGGACCGCCCTTTTTTTCTCCAAAAATTATCTTAAAATGTTCAAGGGAAAATGTATACTCTAGATGCTGTATTTGATCATTTCTTTTAAGCATTTCACCTTTTATTTTAAATGCTCCTGTAATGTGGCGTTTTTATGTGCAAATCTATGCTGCACCTCACTTAAAATGAGGCAATAAAACTGCATGTATAGTATTGATTAAAAAATGCTGTCTAAGCCATTTCAGTAAAGTATATCATCACATCACAACTTTTTCAAAGTGTGTTGTGTCAGTTAGGCCTGTCGCAATAATCAATATATCGACTTATCGTGCAATATATGTACATGACCTCAATCATTTTTGGTGACGCAATATATCGCCCATTATATTTACTTAAAAATGAATGTCACCATGTTTTGTACATTCCACTTGTGCCTGTGTCTTTTGCAGCTTCTCGTACATAACGTGGTGTAGTCATGAGGTGCTAGTTCAAATTTAAAAAATGCCTCTACAAACAAAGTTTCATCTGCAGATATGGCCTTGTTTAGGGATCTGTGCCTTTTTGCATACGGACATCTGACTGCTAAGTAGTGATTGTGTTTTTCAGCAATAGTGTGCACCCTTAATTTACAGAGAAAAGAAGGTCAGGGGAAAATCTGTAGATGGAAAAATCTCCATAATTTTTTTGGTTTTTTTTCTACTTGTTACATTGCACTTTTTGTTAGAAAATGTTTATTTACTATTTATTCAGGTTTTTTAAGGTATCTAATATTTTGATAATTTCCATGATCTAAATATTCTTAAGAATTAAAAGTTTGTTGTCATGTGGAAGGGTGTAGGCCTTCTTGCATTATTATGCTGTTACATTACGATTATATATTCAGTGGCATAAAATGGTCTTTAAAATGACAATAATATCGCTTATCGCAATTATTTCTGGGGTAATATATCGCACAACAAAAAGTTGTTATCGTGACAGGCCTAGTGTCAGTTACACATGTGCATTTTAACACTGTGCAGAGATAGTTTAGCTTGCAGGTGTGTTTACTAGATTAGATGGTGTCATAGAGTGGAGTATAAAGTGTGGTTGAACTTAAAGGGGTCATATAATGCTACATGCACTTTTACAAGTTGTTTGAACTGAAATGTGTGTTGGCAGTGTGTGTACACAACCACCCTAAAATTATAAAAATCCACCCAGTGTTTTTTTAAAATCTGGTTAAGTGTTTTCCCTTTTCTCAAATTGAGCCGATCTCAGATGCCTGTCTGTGTGACGTCACCTAATAATGTGCTAATGTGCCTTTCCTAATAATGTGCCTTTCCTAATAATGCGCTAATTAGCGAGTTTCACGATGAATGCAACTAAAGAAAACCGTCTCTCTGAGAGCGGCTAGGAAGAGAGGGGCGGGGTCAGCAGAGCTCATTAACATTTAAAGGAAAATGCTACAAATCTGCTTGCTCTGAAAAGAGCTGTTTTTGACAGGGTAAAAAAGGTGTTTTTTTTTACACAACCATTGAGAAATTTTAACGAAACTATGTTACAGATTTTTCATTAAGACCCTAAAGAATCATATCAACTTGTGGCAAATGGGCATCCTATGACCCCTTTAAGTCATTGTTTTTCCTGTACACTTTATGAAACTCTGCTCTCCCACACATTTTTGGTAGTATTGATTGGCCTTGCTGACTTTGGGTGGCGCCATGTGTGCACTGTTGACAGGAAGTGACTTATGTTGCAACCCTGAGCTCATGCATGAGGCCCCAGCCGTGAACACAGCTGGATTCGTATGCCGAGTGCGTGCAGCATGTTGATGTTGTTTATCCTTTATGTAGTCTTCTTGATTTCAGAGTAAGGCAGGAAGTTGAATTACGCTCGTACTCTGGCCTATATTTAAATCACAAGTGTCTATAAGCATTAAAGGCCTTCCATTTTGATTGCGCAATGTCTCCCAGCTCTTCTGCTGAGGCCAAATGGACTATTTAGCTTTCCCACCTGTCTGAGGGTCACATGCTTACAGTGTTCAGCCAAAGAGCTGATCTGTGGTGTTGCTGTGTCCAAACCCTGGAGCTCAGTTAGAGAACAATAAACCTGTAGTGCTTGCACAGTGATTTGGTCCCCAGGGCCCCTTTTAGATGACAACTGAAGCTCTCAAATCCAGACCCTCTCTAGCCTTGGGGGCCACACTGATTCTGCAGTATGGCAACTAATGAATCAAAGTTTAGGATGATGTCTTTTCTTGCAACTTTTTTGCAACTAAGTTGAAGGCTGATAATGATTCCTGATAATTTACTCACCTCT